TCACCTATGAACAAATTCAGTTTCTCTGCTAAATGTAGCGGGAAAATTAACGTCACGTGCAGAGGAGGAGGGGAGAGGACGAGGAGAAAGAAAGGGGGAGGAGGAGGAGGAGAAAGCGAGGATGCGAAGCAGGCGAGGAAGGGAGGAGGACGAGGTGAGGACAGGATATGGAAGAGGAGGAGGGGTATACCTTCCCCTCTCCACCTCAAGAGCTCCACTCTAATTTCGCGCTACAGAGATTCGTAAACGTATTTACTTTTTTTTCTTTGTAAAGTATTGACGTTGACGAACACCGCCAACTTGCATTCTTTCAACTACCAAACCAGCAATGGTTGTGGTAAGGTGACGCGCATCCCAAATGTCCCAAGGTCCCTCTGTCACATTTCGATGACTGTTTTATGTGCTTGCAAGAATAAGACATTTAGAAGAAAAATATTGCAATTTATTGAAGATATATATTAAACATGTTTTTAATGAATCTGTATGATTTTAGTTTTATTTTAATATCACTGCAGTGTCAGAAGGCTAATTAAATGAAAAACTTTTTTTCATATTTTTGGCTTCGTAATTTATGGTTCCAGGTGCATCCGCAAAAAAACATAGGCATTGTTACCTGGTATCACTTCAAAAGTGTGGGCCTATACACCATAAACTAATTATATATTTGATGGTGATTATAGCGAAATGTAGCATGTCGCTATTTTAGCGGTTGCTGCTTGTGACTCGGGAGCCTGGAATCGCAGCTATTGCGACTTCAAGATGTAACAAGATTTCAGCTGCTCGTCAGACCATGTGCAGGCGGTAGAAATAAATCCTCAATCCCTTGTTGGGCGTGCTGGTTGGTTTCGACTATGAAACTTTCAGAATTATGTTTGTCTTGCGATGTCAAAATGTTGAAAATGTTTTTAGTGTCAAGTCAGTCTAAAAATCTCTCTTCGCTATATTCTTTCAAATTTTTCACCATGTTTTTCTCTATTGTAAATTAAAACTGCTGCGGGCCACACCTGAGCCCACCCTCGAGCGCAGCACCTCATGCGCAAAGCACCAGTAAAACTTCGCGAAAGAGAGAAGGCCAATCGTGTAATCAATGCCATCAGCCCGACAGTCTACAATACCACGTATGGTATGCAATAAACCAGTTATCAAAGTTAACCTGTCCTGACCACAACATTGCGGCAGCGTTGGGACCCAGTGTTGCCCACGACAAGAACAAGGGCTGAAATAAAAATGGTAGGAGACCAGTGAACATTACAGTATGTGCTTCCGTTATTTCTATTGCAGCCACTCTGTCAGCAATCCTTAAACAGACTATTTTCAAAAGTGTGCACCATCTATAGTCCGTTCACCCCTATGCTAAGACTACAGCGGGAGCTTCGTGTCTGCAGGACCAATCATCCGCCTTCCTCCTTTCACCTGACCCGGCTCTCCACGCGTGGGTGTAGCCGCCGGGATTGGGGTGGCTCTTCAGAGGGACAAGGGTGGGCGTCCGCCCCACTTAAATTTATGACTGCCCCCCCCCCCCCCCCCCCCCACCAAAAAGGGCAGGGGGCGGGGAGATCGGTCAGTCCGCTAAGGTCGTGCTTGCCCGAGAGGCAAGTTAACGTCGCACATTACGGGCATTTCAGCAATGGACGCGGAGCGTCCGCACTTGAAAGCCAGCAGAGAACTTTCTTTTGGTGCTCACCCCCAACTTCTTTGTGCTACACTGCCAAGGCTACCATAGTTCTCGTACTGCTCCGAGAAAGAGTGTGTAAAATCGGAGAGAGAAAGAGAGATGACGTACCAAATGCTTTACTGGGGGCAATACAGGACACTCCACTCATTGGCACTAGACGGAGCGATGGCCACGCTGATTCCTCCCCTGGTGGGGCAGGATGATTTGGGTGCGTCCTTTTCCTTATTTTCCCTACCCTCTCACATTTTCTCCTCCCGCCGGAACACGTGACCGATATGCGCCACCGACGACGCCAAACGCGGGTGGGCGATCACGCAATGGCCGGAGTAGGCCGAGCACGACGACTATCAGCGACCACCATTGCGCGATTTGTCACCGCATGTTGATGCTGGCGTCCTTCTCTGCGGATGACACTCTACAACGCCCTTGTGTAGTGCACCGAGTATGGCGCGTTCGCCACTGTAAACAATCAGTGAAGATGGCAGGAGGGACAGTGCGTTCCGTTCTTCACTGCAAAAACCGGACCTTGCAGGGCAAAAATCTGTCGTTCTTTCGGTTTTCTCGAGATCAAATCACGTACAGACACAAATCTCCTCTGGAGAGTTCTGTTTGTCCTTTGTCCCTCTTGTTCCCCATCTCCAGAGACAAAATTCGTCATTCTTGCCAGCTCGCTTCCATCTTTGCATTTAATTGTATTATAATAATTAAGAAGTAAACAACTTCGGCGTCTCGTTTCTCATGCTGACCATTTATCGTCAGAGATAACTTGACAAGATGTTATCTTTTTAGATATTGCAAAAGGTTCGTTCGCTGCAACAGGTCGGGCATTAATTACAGTTTTAAAAAGCGTGGAGCGGAGTACTTGAACAGCAAATATTGGGTGTGCTCCGACATGTGTTTGTTGAAAGCAAAGCTGTACATATCTGTTCAATGAGCAATAAATATTTTTTCAACAAAAAAAAAATGTCGAATGATATTTATGAGTGGAATCTGAGTTCGCACCTTTAATTATCATTGTAGAAAAACTAAAATAACCCAAAGCAACTTTGTTCATGGCCAGCATGGTCTATTAGGAATAATGTTGACTATCCACGAAGTAATAAAAAATGATTCCAAACTTTCTCAATATTTGTTTTGTTTCCTTATGTTGCTGCAAAGCACCATCTATTCGCAATTTTAAAATAACGAGAAATGAATCACTCGATTAAATAGTCTTATATCTAATACATCAAAGCCCACTCCTCCTTTCAGAATTTTGCGCCAGCCAGACATTCCCAAAACCTGCACTTTTAAATATTCCCGACATACCGAGCTCGCGAAAATAGGGTCGTTTATTTAAGGTGCCTTGTCGGGCGCTTTAGCGATAATCATAGTAGCAAATACTTTGCGGTGAAGTATATGAGAATACATTGCTGTTCCCGCTAAACCTGCTTCTCTTGTCGGCGTAGTTCCTTAATATTAGTTGCTCCGTACTGCCCTTGAAGTGCGATTACAACTAACCGCACTTATCAGAGCAGCTTTCGAAACCGCTCCCCTGATCGAGCAACATGCGTGCGGTTTATATAACAGAACGTAGACATAGAGCTCATCCTACGTATATGCCCCCTCTAAGGCAGTCACCAATAAAGTGTCCGCCGTTTTTTTTTTTTAAATTCAAGAGACGACCTACGTCGCCGCGACCGAACCGCGTGCACAGATTGAACGAAGTTCAGCCGGTAGTAAAATATGCCGTACCGAGAGACGGCGCTAGTTACCAGCCGATATAAAGTTGAAGCCGCTCGGTAGGGTGGTGAGAGCAGAGTTGTGGAGGTGTTTTGTTGGAGTTGTTTGTGGCTTGTTGCACCGCTAATAGGGTATCCACACGAAGGAGAAATCCACCCCTTTCCTCCGCGGAGCGCGCATCACGTGAGACACACGTCATCCCTTTTTGACGCCTCGCGGCGCCGTTCTCCTCCGTGGCGGAGGCGCGGAGGCTTCGTGCTGTCAGCACGAAAGCTCCGCAGGTGCACGCGGCGGAGCCGGGGACGGTCCTTCCCGGGTTGTTGACGTCACGACATCCGTCCGCGGAGTTCTCCTTCGTGTGGATACCCCTTAACATGTATGCACCTGTAACAATATTCAGTATGATGGTTGGTGCTCGTGCTGTGTATGTGATGGCGTCTAAACGGTGGCTTCAGGAAGTTTAAAATAAACCTTTTTAACGCCAGTTAGCGGTTACTACTACACTTTATAGGTGGCGCAAGCTGCTGCCTTGTTCAAGAAACTATGCATTGAGCAGTCATGCATATATATTGAACAAACAGCTGGCCTGCGGCCCACTGTCCTCGATACCTCTACGCTGGATAGAAATCGAAATAATTGTGCCACTTAGCCACCTAAATGTTCGTTCTGCGTCCAACAGGCGCGAAGTGCCGGCCCACAGCGCACGAATGAATAACCAAAGTCGGTATAAATAGGCACAAACAAAAAGTGATAAAATAGCGGTAGCGTTAGTGCAACTTGAATACCTCTGGTCGGTATCGACGGAAGTGCCCAGCGATTCATCGCCGCATACGACTAGCGTATACAATGCGTTCACTAAAGTCAGCATGCTCGTTCCTCGAGTACCGATTTCTTTTTCGAGCGTTCTCTGTCGGCGGTAAGTAATACTGCCAATATATTGAGATGCCGTCGGGGGCATTTGCGGCGATTGTGGCGCACACGCTGCCGTCCTTAGATGAAATAGGTACGGTACCGTTGTTTAGAAACGAATGTTTAGAATCTCTGATGGCGCTTGGAAGACACCGAATAAGCGCGTGCACTCTATCCTCCTACTCGGCCAAAAAGCCGTGTTGTTAGCTGGGCCTTACCGGGGATTCGAGCGTCACTAACCGCCCGCCATGTTGCTTTAGGTAGGAGTTCAATTTAACTACCTATCTTAAATACGCATACAGGTCGTCATTTTTACCCTAGGAGTCGTTATATTTGTGGCAACTTTTTACCAACCCAAAAATAGTCACAAAGATTACTTTTTTTTTTTTGTGAGTTGACCTTGTAAGCTAGTCGTGTGTCTCGTTGCCCGAAGGTTCTCCCCACAAAGTTGACCAAGTGATGTGAACATTTCTCGCACCGTAAGTCCGTACTCCTCGTGTACCGTCCGTGCCGCCGTAGAAAGCGGGAGGGTTTCTGCGGCGGCAACACTTGGTAACACCTTTAACCACCGCTAGTTCGTTCATCCACCGCCGGGTGGCGTCTTTATGTAAAAAAGGTACATTGAGCGGATATGTGTTTTTGTTTTATTAAGAGAGTTGGTTTTCGTTCCAAATGAACGTTTTGTGAATTTCAGATCTGACTGTCATTATGGCCAAAGTTGGAAACTACGCTGAGCTTCAGGAGGCTTGGGAAGCCTGGCACAACAGCGTGGGTCGCAAGGAGAGAGAACTGTATATTCCATTCGTCCAACTTCTGAACAAGTCGGCAACTCTCAACGGTACACACACATCTGAACCTCGTGCAATGATGTTCCAAGTCTAGCCTATAACTATCTAGTTTATATACATCTAGTCCACAGTTCCGCACGCCCACAGATTCAAAAACAGACACAAACATATAAAACATAGGACACAGTACAGTTTCCAAAGAACTCACGACAAAATTCATGAACAGCGAAAAGTCACGAAACTTCAAAAAAAAAAAAAAAGTTGGAGGAATTAATTTATAAAACATGAGGTACTTTTAAACGAACCTCCCAATCCCAAAACTTTGTCCGACCGTCCGTCCGTCCGTCCACACATTTCCCGTTAAGTTAATCGGGGAAATTGACGTCACGTGACTTAGACAGCAGTTCAATGTTCCTGCTAATTTTTTGCGGAAAACTTGAAGTCACATGACCTGATATGATTAAACCTAGAATCCAATTAACTTTTACCGCTAAGTTTAGCGGGAACAGTTACCTAACGTGACTTACACCCCAATTTCCTTTCCCGTCAGATTTTCTGGGGAAGTTGATGTCACGTGACCTGGCATCACGAGTCCTATAGACAAATTTAGGTTCACCGCTAAATTTAGCGGTGAAATTAATGTCCCGTGGCCAGACGTGATGTGACTTATACACGAATTTATTTTTCCTCTAAATTTAATACAAATAATTACGTTACGTGCCATTTTACCAAGTCAGTTTCCCTGCTAAATTTAGCAGGAAAATAAACATGAATGAAGGATCTTCTCTCTCCAAAATGACGGTTTAATGTGTTTAAAAAGAATTTTAGCGATCGATTCCTGAATATTTCATTTTACACATTTGAGGACTTAGGAGGTTTTATTACCCTGGACACCACTTTGTTCCTGGTCTCAATATGGAAACAACAACAAAAGTCGTCCGGTGAATACATATATTTTTTATTGTGTGAGATCTATAGGAACAAGGACCTAGTTTTCATGATAATTTAATCTTTACGCCTCCTATATTTTTTTTCGATCTATCCCAAGTCATTCAATACGAATTATTGATGGACGGAATATATGTTACTCGAGAGAGAGTGAGATAAAAATGAACAAGTATGAAAGGAAAACCTGATAACGGAATTCAATTGCAGGTTACGACAGCGTGAAAGATGTTTGGCTTGCGAACTACGAAATGGACAACATCACAGATGTGGTGGACGCTGTATGGCAAGAGGTGGAGCCTCTGTACAAGAAACTTCACGCTTTCGTGCGGATGAAACTGAAGACGCTGTACGCAGGTCATCAACTCCCCAAAGACGGCACTATCCCAGCGCACTTGCTTGGTAGGATTCCATTGTTCTATAATTATGTGATGGAAACAATCCTAAAGATTTGCGTCCTTGCCTCCTCGGTGGTGGCGTAAATGAAAAACAAGTACAGCGCGGAGCTCGACAACGAGCCGCATGAAAGAGGTCCTTAGCCCAAACTCCGCCTAGGTTTTGGGTAACCATGTTTTAGCAAACATTTAACTTTAGTAATTCGAAACAGTCATTTCGTATGGGCATTCGCTTTTTTTTTCTCTAGTTTTAAGTCCTGATGGTTCACTCTAACTACACGAACAAACAAGTCAAGTATCAAAAATTTGTGAATTACAGTCCATGCACTCAAACTGAAAGTTTGTGGCATCGCAAAAAGTAGGGGGGGGGGGGGGGGGGGGGCGTGGATATATTATACATTTTGTTGGGTCGCAGTGTCGCAGGGCTTGGGAAGCACTGATAAGCTTTAACTGAATATGTGATTACAAAGTTCACGTTTATTTCTCGCAACATCTCTTCTGGTTAACCTTGTAGTACGCTTGTTGTATAAAACGTTTGACCAGGCTTCTCGCATGTTTATTATCTCTCTGCAACACATTTGCTCATTTGTTTGTCTAACTGTCGTGGCTACATTTATGTCGCATTTCATTCTTTACCGTAATCTCAAATTGTGAAAGTCAAACTGTGAAAGTGAATTTGTGAAATCGAAAGTAAGCCGCCTCGACTTAAGAACGAGATTTCGTAAACAACGGGCACCAACTGGAGCACATATTGATTGATGTATTTCTCTCGCCGCATAAGGTGTGAACTGCGTTTGGTGGAATGTGCGAAGCCGTCTCTTCTCCGCGCAGTTTTATTTATTTTTCTCCATGTAGAGCATACTGCAGACAAATAGACAGTCGCGACTGCTAGGGCGAAAAGGTGAATGCAGCACATTTTATACAAGTACGAACAACACGAAAACATTTTATGGCAAACAAATGAAAAGTAATAACCGCCAGAAAGTTTTAAAAACGTGTACAAATGTGCACCCTCACTGCGCAAAGCATACGTGAAAAAAAAAATGCGCACCAACACAGGAAAGACACCGACACTGATCAAAGCAAGAAAACTAAACGAGCAAAAAAAGGCTCACTGTCACAAGGCGAATTAGACAAGCAAAGACTACGTGGCAATCTAAATGTCCCCATGGTGACGCATTGTATATTGATGAGACCGGCCACAAACGTCGCGCCTGTGTGAAAGAACACAAGCATCACGTGGAGAAAGCCACACTTGCCACCAATGCAAAGACAAGCTGGTTGACCATTGTTGGACCACGGGCTGCAGTTGTGAGTTTGAAAATGCGTCAACCTTGGCTAGCGAACAAAGTTAGTGTCTACGAAAGTACTCTGAGTCATGGTACATCCGGAGTAATTCATCAGCTTCCTACTTCAACCGCGGCCCCTTCCCGAAGTATACGTTGGCCTTCTTAAATATATATTTGGTTGGTGTTTCTCTCATTCCTGCCAACTTGGCTTCGCTGATGATGTCTCCTGAATAGGAGATGAAACGTCTGATTAAATTGGTTTATTTGTCATGCACGGACGGTGCATTTTGTTTCCTCATGATGAGTCTCGGATAATGGAAAATTTCTGCACTCGTATTCTATTCTCACACCATAGTTTTAAATCACAAAGGGCAGAGTTCGTTAAAAGATTTGTCTTCAGAGGTAAATGTAATTTTAAATAAAGCACAATCTTCTGCAAAAATACGTATATTCACTGATGGACTATAGAAGCACCAATGTCATACATATAACTTAAAAACAAAACAAAAGCCCGAAAACACTCTCTTGCGGTTCGTCAGACGTGATATTTAATATTCTTGAGCCTCCATCAAGTGTTTGAACAAATTGTTTTCGATGAAGTAGATATCGGCATATTAATTTCCATGATAGAAAGAGGAAGACCGACATATTTTTTATTTATTTAAAAACAATTTGTGCTTTGTGTATTTAAACTGTGCCTTTTGAATTTGAGCTGGCAAAACGCCGGTGCGGCATTAGCCTTACGAGCACTAAACCTAGAAATATAAAGAGTGAAATATAGCTTTTAATAAAGGAATATATAGTGATGAAAACACGCCTCTAAACTTAGGGTAGTTTGCGTATAATGTTCAGTCATACTGCTATATGATGTTATAGCTTTACACGTTGTCAACGTGCTGAAAAATTCAGAGGATCGGTCAAGTAATGTGATTCCAGGTGTGGCCTAAAATTACTTTCGCGTGCATTGACGAAATCCAGTGCAGTGTATTTATTCACTTCACAATATTGATTTCACTGAGCACGTTTGCCATCCCGGACGTTCAAGACATCTTCGGTGCACCTACGCTTATAGTGATCAGTTCTAGTTCTAATTTACTTGCGGTCAAATGTTTGTGGCCATGAAGGCAACCCTGTGGATGCCCGTGAGCCCGCATACCATGAGCGCGATTTGCAGCTGAGTCACACAAACTTTACTTCTGAAATGCCACTACTAGTTGTCTCCGGGTATCGAGCCACCTGCTCCGATCGGCACGAACGTTTTCAATATTACAGGTAATTCCATCTACTAAAGCCTGCCCCTTCATATTTACTTTCTTTTTTAACCTAGTCACTCTACTATTTCTTTCTACTATAATGTAGCAAACAAAATGCGTCTGACGTGTGTTACGAAAAGGTATAGTTGCATGCAGCAGATCTTTCTCTATATAGGGTGACTAAAATATCCAGGCTCGATCAAAAATGGGCCGTAAAAGTCAGCGCCTGTACGTAGCAATCTTGACTATCCGTCAAAGATGTCGTTCAGAAGTAAATTTTTTTACGTGAAATTACAAAACGTAGCTCCCTTACTGTAAAAAAATAGGGTAAAACCACTTGCCAGGGTCAACGGCGGATGGCGACGCAGACAACGGAGTTAAGTGGAGGGGCGCGTTTGGCGCACGGTTTGGTAGATAGCGTCGGGAGCAGCGTCGAAAAGTGTAGCCGGCCAGCAACAGAAAGCAGAAAACGCGAAGGCAAAATCTGTCGGGAGCAAATACGCCGTCGTTATGTAGCCGCGTTTTCTTTTTATTTCATGAGAAAGCATTAACTGTTCCATGGAGTGAACCGACGTCATCAGCTTTTGAAGCCACGCCAAACGGCACCTAAACAACCCTCTCCCAGTGGAGCGAAGCCTCTCGTCTGTAGCAGCGATCTGATGGATAGGCTCAAATTGACTGGCGCGTCATAGTTTCAAGGAACAAGACCCCCACTGGCTCTGGCGTGGCGTACCTCTATGGAACGGCACCGGAGAAGTTCTTTCCATGGCGGCGCACCGCACGCAGCGGCCCGGCCGCCGGTACGTCTGGCCGCAGAGCCAGCACGGGCAAACTCCGGAGAGACTGCACGGCCGAGCTCAGGGCGGCACGACCACTTCGCGAGAGCGCGCTCGGCCGTCGGCCGCTCCCTCAGCAGTAGCGAAACGTGGCCATCCACGCCAGTACGCCGTAGACGAACTAAGAGGACGGAAGGACGACATTCATGCTTTCCCATTCACAATTCATAAGTGCTTAGGTGTCCTTGGATTTCTTTTTTACTTCAGGTTTTTGTTCATTAAAAAAATGTTATGTTCTTTTAGTAGACCATGGTCGTCGCGAGCAGTCTAGATTAGGAGGTAGCGCAATCTTTCAACGCGTGCACTAAACGCGTCCCACTATTCGACTCGATCGTCGGCGTCGCCGCCAGCCGTTAACAATGGTAGGGGTTTTTGTCCTATTTTTTTTTTTTTTACTCAAAGGGAGCTACGCCTTGTGATTTTACATACAAAAACCGACCTTTGACGAAAATATTAGATTAGTAAGTGCAGGCTCCGATTTCTACGCCCCATTATAGATAGAGCCTAGTTATTTCCGTCATCCTATAGCTCTACGAAGACGAGACACTGTTTTCCTAATTTTTCCGTAGGAAACATGTGGGCTCAAACATGGACTAACCTCTACACAAGTCTCAGCAGCGGATCTCCGTTGGACGTGTCTGAGGAACTCGTTAAGCAGGTAAAATATTTTTTTTTTGTTCCTACAACACAGGGGATTTATAAAATATAGCGTGTTTTTGACTACGGTCTACGGTGTATGCTTTCAACACTTTCTTGTTATCTGCCTATTATCTTTGTCAACATTCATTAATAAACATGTGAACTCAAAATTCCTGAAAAAGTATAGTACCAAGACAGAGTCGCGAGGAAAGAAAAAGAATGTTGCAGTTCATGAAAATACTTATTGAGATTCGATCTCGATGACACACACTTCGTCAGAGAGCTGGAGTCCAAGTATAACGGTTTACCAAAACGTAGAACTCAGCATGACAGCTTAAGGGTGGTTCACGCATTTGTGTTGGACTGTGTTGGGATTTCTCGCGTCGGCTCAGGACGAGAGACCACACTAGCACCATCAATTAGGGAGCCCTGAAACGCTTTCAATATGCGTTTATTTCCTAATTGTTCACTCATAATATTCTGCATCAGATTAACAGTTTTTTTAACAATGTTATAAGCAATTATTTCGTATAGACAGCGCGTAGATTTAGCCTCACAAATACTGGGAAACCTGGAGTTGCAACGCAGTTGCAGGTCTAATATTACAAATTGCGCCAGTGTGCCAGTCTGTTCTACTGATGTCTGTGTTCTCGCGGCGTAAGCACTCAAAAGAGATGACAACGCACTTGGTCCTACAGAGGAATACAAATGTATGAAGCAACCTTTAAACTAAGTAAAACAAAAATAAAGCGCGAAAACTGGACCTGTTAGCATAATATGCACGATTCTCGTCACTCCGCTTTCGAGCGAATAGTATGTGTTCTCTAAAACTTCTGATTTATGTAGGAGTGAAGAGAGCAAAGATAGGTGCTGACCGAGCGGGATGACATCATCTTCCTGTTTCATTTCCTAATTGGTGGTGATATGGTGATGGCCGGACACGTCGGTGACTCCTCTCGATGACCCCTTCACATGGGTGGCTTATTGCTTTTCGGGGTTTTGCGCGATTGGTCGCGATGACGAGACATGGCAAGGATACCACTTGACCAAGGTTGAATAAAAATTAATTTGAAGGCGTTCTTTTACTGCGCAACATTTGTTTACTTACTCAACAAGAAGCAGACGGTGTCCTGTAAAGCAGCTTGGTGGAGGTGCTGGCAGTCGAGCCGTGGCTCCAGCGACCCCTGTCCTCTGAGAATTCGAACGTCACGCCCAGTGCTATTGGACCCCACACCAAAAGACTGTCAGAAGATAATGCGCAAAAGCCAAAAAAAAATAATATTTTGTTTTATACCGTGGTTTGCAAACCTACCGAGCCCGAAGCCTGCACTCACAGCTTAAGGACCCTTGCAGCAGATCCCACTCATCTACAGTGGAACTTCAAGCACTTCCTTCGAATCGGGAAAAAGGGCATTAATTTCCTTACTCCCCATTATAAGTCAGTCACTCTGGAAGAGTGGATCAGGCCATCTAGGAATCCGGCAAGAGTTCGTGTGGTCTTAAAGTCCCTGCTACCCGATGTAGACCTCTTCATCTCAGTAGTTAACTGACTGGCCGACAGAGGGCGCAGGCACACGCAGCGCCATAAGGTGGCTTCATTTTCGTTGGTTTCGGTTCAAGCGGGCACGCGGCTCTGTTGGTGTGTTACGTCGTTTCGTTTGGTTTTGTGCTGGAAATGTATCCCTTGTGTTACGCAATAAATAATAGAGTGGTAATGGACCACATTGAGAACTACCACGCGGTACAGTGCTAATGAGCCTAAATTGTGGACATTTTAACGAAAACCTTTATCTGATCATGTTCGTCGTTTGGCCATCGTCGGCAGCGAAACGACTCAAATGATGCAGAGGGAAGATTTCCGATGTCTACGGCCGTGCTGGACGTACCAGCTAGCACTAGTTTCCATAAAAATAAACTAATGAAGAGGCTAATGCAGGGAGGCACAGTAGAAAAGAAGGTCGACAACCCAATTAACAGTGTGCTGAATCCCAGAGAACAAACGAACTCGCAAATTTAATACCCTCTGTTAGATTTTTGAGGACACCAACACTTTGTGAACATTTACGAGTGGAAAACCTCTCTTTAATGGCCTCTTTAATGCAAAAAAGGAGCGATATTGTCTCTATCGGTTCATTTAAAGAAACTAAGCACTCGAGAGATTTTTCTATGGTTCTCCCTTGGCCGAGAAGAAAATATTTTCAACTATTGGTCCTGCGAAAGCATTAATTAGCAGTATTTCACGATGTTGACATTAGTAAACTCTGTTATACGGACATTTCCTTACAAAGTATATAAAATATGATATAAGGGACAAACCCATCAAATGAAGTCTGATGTCTGCCTTCCGTATAGTTTGTGAAAAAAAATTAAATGGCGCAAACAAATTGAATTGCAGCAAGCTTGGCTGAATTGAATGCCAAGCACCACTACCTGAATTTGTGTAGGAAAATCTCTATTCGTTCCAACAAATGCGGCGTCGACTCTCGGCTCTCGGCGTCGCTTTCAGCGGCGCCAAGAGTAAATCTGGTATCAACAACGCTGCACTCAAGTGGTTTACATGCAGGCGGCTTCTTTTCGGCGTCAGATATGGTGTGCCTCGGGCGCTTTTGTCAGCCACTCACAAGCTCTTTATGGTACGTTTTTACCCGGGAAGCCTAACACTTTATTTATAAATAAATTAATTAAAGTGAATATTTAAAAAAAAAAAACGTTATGGACATATTGGGCATATTGTCACGAATGACAAGTGATTAGGCGGCGAATGACTGAGTAAACTGACCGTGTAATGGGGCGAACTTGTGCCCAAAAATAAAAGGAAAAATAAAGATAACAACAGAGCGTCGCGGGCGTTGAAGGCGGCGAAGCAGCAGGGTCGAACGCTGAGGCGAAAACTAGGGAGTTTTAGTAGACCGTGTTTCCCCCTCCGCTAGCCCTCCGCTACGAAGAAACCACCACTGCGCCTGCGCGCCGATGGCCTTGGCTGTAGAGTTCTGGGTAGCGGAGGGGCCTAGCGGAGCGGGAAACACGGTCTACTAAAACTCACTACTGACTCCAGATCGCGACGCGGAGCCCCTTATGTACACGTGTGGGCTTCTGGAATAATCCGCGTAGAAGGTTCGGCATGTAGAGCATTCTGATCTCGAACAAGCAACATGGTTTTTGAATTTACCAGAAAATTAGGCTAGGGTCAACAAAAATGCGCCTCCGCGGCCAGGAATCGAACCCTCGCTTTCTGCGAGGAATGCACGCGCTATAGACCCGTTGCTCTCGGGCAGGGGGCGCGAGCGCGTCCGCAAGACGCGACCATGTTATGCTGGCAGAACTATCCAGGCGGCGCTGTAACGTTCGATTTTGTACGTGCCACGTTCGAATGCGAGCATCTGTCAGCATCTGTAGACGCGCGATAACAAAACGTTTAAAACAAAAAAATTCTGCAGCTCGCGGATTCAGCGTCCCATTCAGCTTTATTATTTTATGGCGTTCTTTAATCGCTTCCGTGAGCTCGTATGTTTCACTTTACGTGATAGCGAAGCTGAAGCTACTTGCAAAAACATGTTCCCCTGAACGATGCTCGCCCTGCACGAGCGCGCGTGCTTGGAAGGGACAATGCAAGCTCGGAGCTCGCTCTCGTAGCCTCTGCTACGCTGGCGGTTAGAATGGAACGGAGTATAAAAAACTCTAGTGGGGAAGCGTAATGACGCGCGTTCGAAACACGAGCCAAATATTCTATTTTGCTCGCCTGGAGCGCTGGTCAAAACTTGAGAACTACGGGCCTATAACCGTTAGGACACGAGCGCGCTGCCTTTGGTCAGCTGCGCTCGCGGTATTATTCCCTCCTTTAAAAAAAGTGAATCGTCTTTATGCAGCACAAAACTAAAACACAGATCTACAGAAAAAGGATAGCAGACTCGCGAGTCCCAGTCAACAGTTAACTCTTTGACGAGAGTCCAGAGTTCTATCGTTCGTAATACGGATTGGGCCGGACGACGTGCACCACCTCGGGTCGTGGCTGGCGTTTTGCAGATGGGCGCGTTCCGTCGGGAAGAACTTCGTAGTTGAGATCGCCGAGGCGTCGGATGATTTTGTACGGACCGAAATAGCGTTTGGGAAGCTTCTCGCTGAGACCGCGGCGCCGTATCGGTGTCTACACCCATACCCGGTCTCCGGGTCGAAAGTGGACATCCCGGCGACGAAGGTTATACCGGCGTGCGTTGACTCGCTGTTGTTCATGAATCTTGATTCTTCCCAGTTGGCGAGCTTCTTCCGCGCGCTGGGAGATCAGTTGAGCGTCGTCGTTGCCATCATCAATTGGCACGTGAGGCAGCATGGCGTCGAGCATCGTGGTAACCGTGCGGCCGTGTACCAGTAGGAATGGTGTCATTCCCGTGGTTTCTTGAACCGCTACCTCCAAGACGACAAACGCATCGATAGGAGCTACAGTCCAGACCAGCGTTCCAACATGACTATCCGCACGTCGATCGATTGCACCGTAATCCCGCAAGCAGTCTTAGACTTTAATCTAAAGCGGAATGTGAGCCTGTGTCCCCCGACCCCCTCCGATCACGGCCCGACCAGCGCCACCAATGCCCGACAGTTTACGTCATCTCATCTTGATACACCACTGATATGCAAACGCACGGTCATATCGGCGATAATTCCAGTCTTGAGTTGACAACGCACAACACTGCCATCGCGATGTTGCTGCTATGTTGAGGACACGCAGAAATAACGAACCACGTTTAAATAACGAACACGAGTCCAACTAAGCACAAAAGGCACACAGGCACCCAGCAGCAAACTCTGCCTGTCTTAGACGCAGTTTCCGCGGTTTCCATAAGGTCGTCAACGTCGAAACGTCGTTCCGCTCCGCACTCGGAGGCGGTCATCTTAGCCCAGTGTACGTAGCGCCACTGGCGCTGCTCCGGAATTTCGCTATTTTTAACGGTTTCGTTTGCTCGTTCCGTAAAATTAGTGGTAAAATACTCAATGTAACCGAAAGGTTCTGCACGTTTGGACTGAGAGACGGAATTACAGGTGGCCTTCGAAGCCACTGAAGTTCAATCAATGCAAGAAAATTTATTAAACAATGCGCGCGACGTGCTCAAACGACGAAACCGAAAGAAGATGAGGCGGGAGGGTGGAAACTTTCTCCTTTCTGCCTGGAGAAGGAAAAAACGTCTCGTTCCTCCCTTTTTTTCGTGTCCGCTTACGGGCGCGTCAGTAGAAAAGAGGAAGACGCGCCGTTGCTACCTTTTTTCTCTTGTTTTCCTTAGAGTGAATGCAAATGCCGTAAAAATGATTCTCTCATATATTCAAAAGCAACTGTTTTGGATTTGCTATAAAGGCAAATCACGATGTTTACAAGAAACACACATAGTATCTTCTTGGGTTGACTAAATTTGCCTTCGTTTTTCAGCTCATAAATGCATCATCATAAATATACCCTGAGTTTTTCAGCGATCCGCTCTCTGTTAAGCAAATTTGCGCTCTAATAAATAATTCGAAACTCAAATCCGCCGAAGCGTAGAGCCATTTACATATTACATGTGCGTTAGTGCTAAAGCTGATCCCTTTCCTTACAAGTGTACGGCACGCCAACAAGCCAATTGTCAAAATGTGTTTTTAAATCCAGTGCAGAAGTCGCGCACGTAATCGTGGCATACGCTTTTGATTCCCCCAGTCAACAACCTGAATTATTTGTTGGTGTTTCTGCCGCAGCGCTCGGACGAAGTATCGAACGTTCTGTCTGTGTTCGGCTGGGGTTCATAGTCAGTCAGTCCCTGACAAACGCTGACGCTGCACTTGCGTTTACGTTTCGCCCACTCTCAAGCAACACCGCCAAGCATAATCAAGGCGCGCGCACTAAAGTTAGAACGTCATGGCAGTGAGATCGAGCGCAGCCAGACTAGAAGCGAGGGTTGCTGCAGTGTTCGGTGATGCCTCGTGTCCAGTCAATGCGTTGCAGGACGCTGGGTGTTGGGCTCGTGCTCGAGCGTGAGTTGGTATTATGCGAATGGGATGATGTTACGGGAAGGTAGAGAAGTGCGTTCCTAAGCTTGGAATCTTCGTAGTATACTCTCGATCGAGTGATTGGACGTAAATAATCCAGCCCACAGGTCTCGTGTTGGGCACACACCGAGCTTTGTGTAAAAACAGTCGTACAAAATACGCCTTAAAGTACAACCTCCCTGCGAACAGTTGGATCGCCTTACCCGAATATGTGGCAGTAATCATGTTAAGAGGGAATCAGAATCGAGACATTAGTCACGATGTTTAAAGCCCGAGACTGTGGTAAGGTTAAGAATAGGAAACTTTGAAGCCGAAGAAAAATGCAAGTGAGAAGACTTCAGCACATTCTCTGGTTTAAAACATCGAGATTAAATCTCACCAGCTCGCCTGCGCACCCATTGTCTTTACAGATGTCAAAAAGTGTACAGCGCTTTTCAGGTTATCGATCGCCCGACTTGCCTAGAAGCACTTTATTTGTTTACGCGTCTTGATCCTGTGGTGATTTTTTTTTTATGGGATAGAATTTATGAGCGAGCCTTACGCAATTTCGTATCCGTCGTTCGTTTTGTAACCAAGGAACGTGGCGGAAGGAATCGCTTATATACACACTTCAATTATGCATGCAGATTGTAATGCGCCCAACGGATGGGATATCTGAACTGGTGAACGGCATATTCCCAGGCTATTATTATACGCATATACATATGTTTATGTCATGCGATGACTTGACCTGATATGGTAAATAAGCACTCGCAACAAATATGAAAAATATATTACAACCTTAGTTGTTTAGGCATTTTTTCTTGCCATAGCACAATCCGGAAGCGTCTCGAATCCTTCAAAGCGTCTCCGGACTCAGTGATTGCAACCAAAGAGCTCTACCACAAAATATCGAGCATTCGCCCATTCCACAATAAGCGTCCATGCCTCAGTATAGTAACATTGGGATGATACACAAAGGACATATATTTCCATATTGTTCAACTAACGAGCGCTCATCCCTCAGTCTTACGTGATTATCTCGAAATGTTGAGTGGTGCTCGATCAAAAGATTTTACGCTAAGTAAGGACGGGCAATACTCCTTTGATTATGTTTACTTTAATATAGTAAGATTGCAGTTTGCAACAACAGAAGTTGAGGATCGGTCACGGGAGGCTCTTTTGCGGGAAGTATACAATCTAATTGAAATATGTGATTTGATTTTATAAATTAGAAAGGACTTCATGTTCGTCAAAAAGAATACTCATGACATTTCCACAGTAGTTCCTAAGAAGTTTAATGAAACAATTGCAGAGTTTAAGATGGTGAATAACTCTGTCGCTTCAATGGCAACAGCGATTTTGGCAAATTAATATTTTTTTCTTCCCAGGGTTGGAATGCGTCTAAGATGTGGAAAACGGCTGAAGACTTTTTTACAAGCATAGGACTGCCACAAATGACAGACACCTTCTGGGAGAAGTCAGTGATGACCAAACCTAAAGATCGCGATATTGTGTGCCACGCATCAGCGTGGGATTTTTACGACCCGCCAGATTTCCGGTAAGCTATACAACCTCATGATCCCAAGAACGTAGGCGCAGTATAGCAGTTCTAGTATTTTGCGAAAATGGAGAATAATGAGCCATTACAAAATAGGGTCCGATAACCGACGATATGATGAGTGGAACCGTACGTGATAAATGTTTAACACCACAAGCACATTATGGATACGAGATCATCACCGTATCCAGTGAAAAAAAAAAATATACTAAACAATATCAATGTACACTTTGCGTTTGAGCACATTTCGTGCTTCCCTGTGCGATGCACAGGAATAAATTGAACGCAAATTCTAAGCAAATGAATCCTATATACTGATGCATTCATACTCAAAATGTCACAATTAATAACTCCACAAAATTGTTTTGTTACATCTCAAAGGGACACTTCAGTAAGAATTTTCGCCAAATTAATGTATGAAAAGGAGATTCAATTTATTTCTCTCAGTGGGCCGCAGTTGTTAAAGTGCGGTTTTGAAAGAAGCAACGTTTTTGCCGTTCAGCAATAAGTTATAACTTATAATGAACCAAAGAAAAACATTCTAGCCAATACAGTTATAGCCGCGTGTTACGCTACGGTGAAACAGAAAGCACGTTTCCACTTTGTTCTTTCTTTTTTTTTTTTAAGGGGGGGGGGGGGGGGCATAACCGGGGCGGTCACTTCCGCTGATCTGACACGGCCGCAGAAAAAATCGAACGACCGTGTCAGGGGTCACGCATGAATGTTGATTGACGTGTCCGATGGGTCATAACTAGGGTGTGTATTTTCCGGTTTTAACCGAAAAACATCGATAAACATCTGTCGGTGACGAAATTACAAAATCGGTTAAAACCGAAAAACACCGGTGGTTGGATATTTTCGCCCTGGTTAAGCCCGAAAAACACCGGTCGTTGCACGTTTCCCACCTAGCGAAACCCTTTCCCCCTAGAGGTTCGTCAAACATGTTATCTCGTGGATCCTGCATTCTTCAAGTGTCTATACATGGTTTGCACGTGGCGTCAGTCCGCCCTCCTTTCCGTGGGTCAAAAGCGTCTAGTTAACGCAGTGGAAGCTAAGCTCTCACACGCCTTTCCCCCATTGTGTCGCCCATGGCCCCCTTTTGTGGAAAAATTAACGCAGTGGAGGGTACGTTCTCACGTGCCCTTTCCCCATTGTGTCTGGCCAAGTGATGTCGGTGCAAGCCATGTATTCAGAGGTTGCTGTGGTTCCTGGAAGACACTGCCAACATCCGTGTCGTCGTACAGGGCTACTGACCTTTCAGAACTGAGATGCGTTCCTTGTTATCTGTTTAGTTTCCATGGGCTTTTGGGGAAACGGAAAAAAGGTTTTGTTGGTGGGGGAGTTTCTCGCTGTATATAAAAGGACCGTTCTGTAAAAAAACTTGCAGACGTGTTTGAAAAAACGGTGAGAGTGCAGGCGAGCTGGTGGTAGCTAATCATGTCGTATTACACCTGAGACTGCGGTGGAAGAAATCGGAAGAACTTTCAGTAGAAGGAACAGACACAGAGAACGTCTCAATAGAGATGTTCTCTGTGTCTGTTCCTTCTACTGAAAGTTCTTCCGATTTCTTCCACCGCAGTCTCAGGTGTAATACGACATGATGAGACGTGTTTGAGAAGGCGCGTCCGTCCCGCGCGTCTGCGGGTTTTCTCAACGTGAGACTTGCTTCCCTTCGTCGCCACGCGGAGTAGAAGGCCACCAGGATGGGGAGTAAGCGGAAAGCCCAGGATGACTACGCTACAGATTTCATGGATGAATCGTCGTTCTGGTTCCGCGTGCCAATTGTTAATCCGTGCATAAACGTGGAGCGGCCAGAGGGATTTGTGCCTTATGAAAGTGTCTATCGGCTGGTCCTCTGAGACGAGAGCTAGCTGAGTGACCTAGAATCAGAGTTTCTTTGTTACCGCCAGTATGCTGTAACTAGCATCGTTGATCCAGTGTTATTTTGGAAACTTCTTTTACCTGACTGGCCACTACTGTCCCAAGTCTCGCTGGACATTTTGGGATTTCCTGTGTCCATCGCAAATGTGGAGCGTGCGTTTTCAAAATTGCGGGTTGTGAACCGCAAGGAACGTGCTGCCATGACGGATGCAAGCCTCTCGAAGTATGCTTGCATCTACTATAATAACCAAGTGCGAGAAATATATGCGTCCTCGAGAAGTGTATGAAATATGTGAATAAAATTGGAGCTCTCTGTCTGTGATCAAGCGCATTTTTTTCCACCAATAATCACCGATTTTAGCCTTGTCGTGAAACGTTCCACCGAAATACACCGGTGTTTCGAAAATAAATAAACACCGAAAAACATCCGCCGATTTTTCTCACAAATAAACACCGGAAAGTACACACCCTAGTCATAACTTCTCGGCGCGTTGCTTTTCGATGATACTCAGTCATATCATTTCGTTTGCAAAGGTCCCAATTTCCACAAAGGCACTTTCCCTATCCTAGTTGACCAAAACGAATATGTTTGTGTGAGAGGGCTATAGATAATATAGGCCAGTTTTACACTGTGTTAAAGCCAACACGACACTGTTGACGCAGCACGATATCGCCATTTTTTATCATTCAGTCACTGTACTGACGGTTATAAAAATGTACACTTTACTTTACTGCCACAGATGAGGACTTTCCGCCACACTAATGATTTTTATGGCTGTTTTTTTTTTATTGGGTAATATTGCCAGCTACGGACAAGGTGGCCAAGGCAAAGGTGAGCATTGCTTGAGCAAAATACAAAAAAAAAGACAAAAAAAAGAACAACAGCAACACGCTATAAAATAAAGGCAATACTGTAGTACAGTTGAACTTTACTTTAAGCGAAAAAAAGCTGGGTATTGCTTCTTGGCGTTAATAGTGCTCTGCTGTGTAGGTTATAGTTAGAGTTACACGTTTTCTGTGAATACCATCAAAACACAAAAGTTAACCCCCTAGCCGGTTTTGTCACAGTCAAGGAAATCCGATAAGCCCTGAATCGAAGGTGTCATTATGTATTTTTTCAAACCTACACGAAAATAGACTTCTTTTTTTTGCGTGAGTGCCCTATGAGGCAGAAGGGGGAAAGTAGGCCCCAGCAAAATGAAGGCCTTCGGGGGGGAGGGGGTGGGGGCCCAATGCCCCCCCCCCCCCCCCCCCTGGATACGTGCCTGACTTCTTGTTTTTTAACACAGGATAAAGATGTGCACTGAAGCGAACATGGAGGACTTGGGAACCATACATCACGAAATGGGACACATTATCTACTTCATGCTTTACGCTAACCAGTACCCGACGTTCAGAGAAGGTGCCAACGAAGGCAAGTAGCACGCCTTCAGCACCGAGCACGCTGAGTAACTTCAGTATCGAATTAATATAGTGCGCATTATTTGCCGTTTCAGGGTTCCACGAGGCTGTTGGCGATTTGATAGGGCTGTCCTCATCCACGCCATCCCACTTGCGTTTGCTGGGACTTCTGAAAAACGATACGGAAATAAGTGAGAGCACTTTCCTTTGAATTTGCACTGCCGTCTTAATCGGTTCTGTACCAGTGCCTCTAGTTACGAAAACCAGAACGAATGCGTACCGAGACCGACCAGGTGCTTCCATTTATTGAGGTGTCTGACTGAAATGTTGGAACTAATAATTTCGATATAAAAAATTGGCATTGTCGGCCACAGTACTTTCAGCGAATCAGTTACTCGAGCTGTCACCAGTCGGCGCGCCCTTCGCGCGCTTTCCGGGCCGCCATAGCCGACCTTCCGTTCCTCGCCGTTGCTCCGCGTTCTGTGCTGCACAGGCCACTACCGGAGCTTCGTTTTCGTGTTCTTTTACGTTGCGCGTTGAAATCTTGGATTTTCTTTAGGTCGTTTTGATTTTTAGGACTTTCATTTAATCTTTTCATGTTTATATTTCGACATAGCTCTTCCATTTTCTTATTTATGGAATGGAATCGGACAGCGAATGGGTCGACGATACAAGATTATGAGGCTTCAATGATCATGTAAGTTCATCCCATTCCTACGTTTTTGTCGCTAATAAAGGGCAGTCAACACTATTGCGACATATGTAAATTGCAACTGACGCAGTAAGGCTATCACAGTCGTGCTTCTCGTTGCATGAGCGCGCTCGTTTCCGTAAAGCCGACCCACCATGTAAGCGATTTAGAGTGCGACGAGACAAGCGACGGAGAATTGTCACTGTCGCTTGTCGTATCGCTCGGTTTTGTGATTTCTAGAAAACGTCGCTCACCGTCTTGGTCGCTTGCTCCGTCGCTTCCATGCGGTTTGCCTCGTCGCGCGACTGACTGAGCGACAGCGAAGCGGGTCGCCGTCGCTTATCTGGTCGCTCGCCAAATAGCTTACATGCGGTTTATACTCAATTAATTTCCATGCACACACCATTGAACCATTGGCGTCTCGATATTAAGTATAAACCGCATGCAAGCGATTCGGCGAGCAACGAGACAACCGACGGTGACCCGCTTCGCTGTCGCTCGGGCAATCGGGCGACGAGGTAAACCGCACGGAAGCGACGGGAGCAAGCGACCAAGGTGGTGAGCGACGTTTTCTAGAAACCCAAAAAGCCGAGCGATGCAACAGGCGACAGTGAGAAATCTTCGTCGCTGACTCTCGTCGTTGTCGCCGTCGCTCGTCTCGTCGCACGCTAAATCGCTTACATGCGGGTCGGCTTTACGGAAAGAGCGCGCACATGCAGCGAGAAGCACGACTGGATAGCCTTACTGCGTCAGTTGAAATTTGCATATGTCGCAATGGTGTTGACTGCCCTTTATTAGCGAGAAAAACGTTAGAATGCGATGAACTTACATGGTCTCTGAAGCCATAATCTTGTATCGTCGATTCATTCGCTGTCCGATTCCATTTCATAAATAAAAAAAATACAAGAGCTATGTTGAAATATATATATATCAAATGATTAAATGAAAGCCAGAAATATCGAAAAGACCTAAACAAAAACAAGCGATTTCAACGCGGAACGTAAAAGAACGCGAAAACAAAGCTCCGGTCGTGGGTGGTGCAGCACACAACGCGGAGGAACGGCGAGAAACTGAAGGGCGGCTATGGCGGCAGGGTCATGTGACGTCAAGATGGCGGCGCCCATGAAATGTTGCCTGAAAGGGTATATAGCTAGTTCATACTTTGCTTGAATCTCAGCGAAAATTTACAACTGAACAAAGAGGAGAAAAAGTTGTTCTTCTTTATCTTTGCAATCGGATCCCCTTCCTTTACAGACCCAATCGACGAACTCTTGTTGAAGGCACTCGAGAAGCTTGCATTCTTGCCATTCGGACTTTTGCTGGATAAGTGGAGGTGGTCCATCTTCACAGGAGAAACACCTTATGAGAAAATGAACAGAAAATTTTGGGAGCTAAGGTAAGATGGAGCAGATAATCTTCAATCTCTTCAAAACAAAGCCGCTTTGCACAAAGCTCATGCCTATTACTGCTTTAACAAAGTACTCACCCCAAATAAATAGCTTACCTCAATGCAAGAAGGCTCCTTATAGAAGTTTTATTTATTCACAAACTCAATTATTGTACCTCAGTTTTAGAGAACCTCTTCTACGGTCGGCTCCACGTATAAGGGGTGTTCCTCAATACGCAGAACCAATCGTTCCGGCTAAGACAACGCATCGCACAAAAAATGTTAACTTCGTATTGTTCTCTACCAAAAAGCGTTATTAGGAAAATTATTAAAGTTTTTTTGTTATTTTTTTATGATTAGTTTAGTAATTCCTTTCGAATAATTCATTTTTAAGTTGATTACTTAAGAGCATGGTCTCTTTTAAAAAATGTTGGTCATCTTACAAAACTATCAAAGCAACTCGTCATTTTAGAAAGATATAAGGTGCGCACATCATTGTGCGGCGTTTCTAATAAACAACACTTAATATGAACGCCTTTCTCGGTTTCGGTTTCCTATTGAAGGGTCTTGTTGCACCAGCGGTCCTGCCCCTCCGTGGTCAAGGTGCTCAACTAAAGCAACTAAGTAGGAGCGCAAATTGGTCTGCTACTTATTCTTCGTATGACGAAGGTTAACCCAAGATTCATAGCTTAATCTTCCAATGTTACTCGAACAGGACATCGTTCATATAGGCCGGCGAGCGCTACACTTTCTTACTACCTACGAGGTACACGAGGGGGTAGGTGCACGCTTTGACCACGGGGAACAGGACCGCTCGTACTAAGATGTGCTCTTATAAAAGACCGAAACCAAAAAAACGCGTATACATTAAGCAGGTTTTCTTTCACAAAACGCTGTAAAATTATGCACGCGCACCTTATAGCTTTCTAAATTTAGATGATTTGGTGCAGTTCAATGATGCGCAGAGAGTTTCTAATTGAATCCATACATTTAAATTTGGCGACTAAAATGTTACTTACTCGAAAGTAATTATTCAACTTAGTGAACCGCACTTGAATAAGTTTCCCCAGCATGTCCTTTAGAAGAGGCAAATGCAACGTTCACCTTTTTCTGTGCGACGAGTACTTCTCCAAAGAACGGTTTCGCCCGCGTTCCGAGAAACACCCCTTATGGTGTAGTGAGGTCCCCATTTTAATATTACCCCTATATTTGCACAAACTATAATTACCAGTGTCTTAAGAAACGCCGGACGTACCAAGTCACGAGCACCACATCATTGCTCTGAAGACAATGAGTTTTCGATGCTAGATGATGCGGTTGCTGATGTAACTGCAATGACTATATTATTTTTAAAAACGCATAACCTCTCCTCCCCCTTCTCAATTGAAACATCCCCCTTAGGTAAATTTTCCCCTAGAAGTCTTTGTGTTTTCGTCTTTTTACGTTTCGTAAGCCACCTTCCGCCATGTTGATAAAGAAAGTACGTCACTTCCGTCATTCGTTTACACGCAGAAGCTTAGATATTGTCGTAGCTTTTGGCACTTGTGAATCGGTGGACCATGCCGAGTGGCTACGTAGATGATTTAACTCAGTAAGCATGCTGGGAGGCGTCTTTGTGCTGCATAAATCTAAGTTTATTCGGGTAAGTTTCCTTTTTCGAAGTCGCCCTAAACGGCATTCATGCTGGGACTATTTTCGCCGCCGACGGGTCGACTTCTCAATCGCCGGTTTGTCTTAGAACCGAATAAAGACCGGCATGTGTGAAAGTCGAGTATCCGACACAATAAATCACGATGCAAAAAAGAAAAAAAAAACACTCGACCGAGCTGGAAAACGTTTGCGCATAGAAAGGCATACGACGAAAGTTTGTCAACATGGCACCCGGGGCAGATTTTGAACCGGAAGTAAGTCAAGTGAAACCTGCCTTTAACAACTTCCCCGGCTTCTATCTATGCAGAATTAAGTATCAGGGGATATCTCCACCGGTGAAGAGAAGTGAACAGGATTTGGATGCAGCAGCCAAGTATCACGTTCCTTCTAACACTCCCTATCTAAGGCAAGTGATTTAGTTCTGTAAAAAACGAAGAAAAAAAAATGAAAGTACTCGTGAACCTCGAAAAGCACCGCAGCCACTTTAAAGAAACCATGAAACGATTTCCGAATCGAATTTCATCTACCGCACGTCGTAACAGGTGTAAAAAAAAATGCAAAAATAGAAAGACAAAATAATTCGCCATAGAACTTTTTACAACAAAGCAAACACTTTTATATTTTTTCCCTCCAAAACTCCCTGCCTTTTCAGTGCGATGCATCCGCGGTGCAAAGCAGGTCAGCCAAATCCACGTCGCCTATTGATTAAGAGCCTACCTGACCAACACCGCGATCATGAACAATAAAGAGCCTTCGAATGTTTCTTAAATGTTTTGTTAAAATATATTCTGATACACATTTTCCAGCATCATTAGCGATGTGACGGAAATTACCAAATTTTATAATGTTCAGAGCCATGTGCCATCTATTGGGTAGTAAACGAAGCAAGAGTAACACCAGACTGAGCCTGTGCTGTCAAGCCACAAGCGTCGTCTGCTGAGGAGAGCTCGGCTGCCCGCGTTGCATCCCGGTTGCGGTTCCTGTTATCTGTTGAAGAACATGGCGTCGGTGGTAACCATCAACGTGTTGGGCTGGTGGAATCTCATCGTTCCGCATAGAGCGCTATCCTTAACTGAATTTTTGTAGTGTGTCATGGCGATAATCCAGCACGTCCTAGAAAAGAAGATCCTTAGCGTTTCTGTCGTCGAACAGCTCCCGGATTTCTTCTTTTACGCATACCATGTGTATGCTCAAGTTCAAGGTTTTACTGACGCGTACTGTAATTAAAGGCGTGTATGAAGGATGCGAATTTCGACGCGTTTTCATCACCCGAGAAAAGTAATTAGTAGTAGCATTTCTGAACTCGTCAACATTTATGTTATCGCGAAATTATATTTCTACGTTGCAATATCGCTGCTAAGATTACATCGTATTTTGCAATCGTAGAAAAGGTCTGTGGCCAGATTTTTACTATCGGTAAAGTCGTGTGTTAATGTCGTGTTCGTCCAAGACTGGGTTCTGGATATTTTCCTTTTATTTTTTTTTTCATTCACTCTTTCCTGCCTACCCTATCCTGACAAAATAAAAATTAATAAAGCTTGAGCCCATAAAAATCTCTCCATTTTTTGCTACGCCAGTGAGTGACTGCATGTGGCCTTCTTTTTAGAGGCACCGCGGAAACAGCTGACGGCAGTGGAGAAGTGGCCGTCGTGCTGATGACCTGCTGCGCTTGTTGCAGTGGTGGGAGGAGTCTGTTCGCACGGCGCAAAGTTATTGTTCCGGTTGCTCCGGTCAAAACAGACGCAGTCGTAGCTCACGCGCTCATTGCAGGTACCGGAGTTGCAGTTTGTGTAACCCGGGCCTTAAAAAGAAACGTCTGAAGTTTCACCGCATGCCACTAGAGGAACAATGTCGATGCCCCTGGCGCAGGCTCATTGGTTTGAAGGACACCAGGTCTAAGGTCACCCGTATATGCTCAGCTCATTCCGTACATTGGAGTCGCCACTCCTTCTTGTCTGATTCCAACGAAGAACTGGAGTCTTCGTCGGATTACTCACCGCACTTTTCAACAGGCGCACCGGCGTATGGGACCAGTCCCATGCTATGGCTGTAGCGCAACTTATCTAATTTAATATGGGTCAGCTGCAATGTGTCCATGGCTATCGCGGTAATGAGTGGCGTCAATTCAGAAATTATGTTTGTGTCATCGGCGACATCAGCGCAGTAAACCCTGTTGTAAAAGCTTTCGGCACACTGCCAGCTCGCCGCTAGCGCTCGGATTCTCCAACAGCCGAGGGAACTTCCTATTCCGGTTCCAGAGTACATTACGATCGTCAAACGTACGCCGCGCTTGTTTTGCGGTGAGTTGGAGAGAAAAGAGAACTGAATATGCTTTTTTTCAATTTTTCGAGTAGAAGTTAATAAACCAAAACAAAAGTGGATGCTTGTTCGGGGTTCAGTGAACATTGAAGGTATAGTGTAAAAGTAATTTGGCAAAAGTAAAAAAAAAATCATTTCATGATCCCATTAAGTTACCCATTTTTACCGGTGAGCACATGAGGTCGACTTAGTTTCTTCTTGAGAAGGTACTCGCCAACCAACGTAGGGAGCGTGCAGCAAATAGAGTCGGGCTTGCAGATATAAATAGGATTACATGTCACGTGTGCAGGGCCAGATTTCTAGAACACCGCCTCAGCTGAGACTAAGTGAAATAAAGCACTGAAAATTATTGGGGCGAGAAAGCGTCTTGAGACGCGGTTTGAATACCGCTCAGCTCGTGCGCTGGTTTTGGTAAATCTTTCTTTCCCCAGTCTCAGCTGAGACGCTGTTTCTAGCAAGCCGGCCCTTATAACGCTTAATGAGAAAAAGTTATTTCGGTGCGATGTTCTCGATACATAAATAAACAACTTCCTTAACTGTCGAAGCCATGCATACTTTTTTTGAAAGTGCATATCCCCAACCATATCTAACTCTAGCTTCGTATCTGTTTCTGTTAAGTCTGATAAGTTCCTTAAACGGTCACCGTAAGGTTTATCAATATTCCGTATGCACCGGCGTTTTTGTGATGTGCGTATATTTTTTGTAGGTAAGCCAAGGCTTGCAAAAGTGGCTCGGCATTTTATTAGGGCTCAGAACACCACCTCATATAAAACAATGCGGCGGTGTTGTATTTCTGACGTCAACCACCGGAGCCCAGCGCAGGACACGGGTTGGGCACGTGTGATTTGTCGGCGTCAGGCTGGGAGTCCTGTTCAGTCAGTAAAGACGTGAGTCGCAACCGAATGCTCACGATGCTGTCGAGTCGAGATCGCGCCCCACGCTTGCCTTCGATAGTTTGGCGCAGAGAAGAGAGCGATGCTGCACTGTGATCTACGAGGTGTTGCACAGCGTCATTGACAGCGGTGAGCTGGAAGCGCGCAAAAATGACTTGTAAACCCAGAGATCCTTGTTTCTCGCAGCTATATGTTACTGCAGTATGGAGCAACAGAACTGATACTCCCTTGACATGAAAAAAACATGGGGTGTCTACCGGAGCTCAAAGGTCCTCTATGATAGACCGAAACCCCGACTAGAAACAAGTCCGCGTTTGCCCACGCCAGGTGTGAGTGTGCGGAAACCAGATTCGCGTCTGCGCATGTGCCGAGCTGACAGTAGCACCACCGCATCGGCCTGACATCAGATCCGCGTGTTGCTGTCTACGGACATCTGGGCAGCGTGACGAGGTGGCTTGATGTCACGCTTCCTCCTGACGTCACGTTACATAACACATTGACGTCACTGCGTCAAGTCGTGATATTATGTGGCAGTGTCACGTGTTATGACGTCATGTTACACCACGAATTGACACCCAACGTTCATATATCTAATAGCGGCGTTGACGCCGTGCCGTCTCGAGACACCACGTCTTCGCACCGTGGCCTTACGTCACGTGGCAAGACGACCTGACACCAAGACGACATGTCACATGGCGTTGCCTGACACAGAGAACAGGATCACGTGACTCGCACTGGCAGCAGCCACCTAGCCAAAAAAAACTCCTAATGCCAATAACACGTGTCAATGCGGCCCAGCGGCGTCTCTCTAATTTTAGCTGAATGAATTAGCTCACTGAATTTAGGGAAACTTTAGTCCGCTACGTTTAGCTGAACCTTGGCTTTCTAAATTTAGCTGACGACGGCAGGGTATAGCCATAGCTGCAGGTACGGCTGTGGCGACGCTGCAAAATTTTGAATTTAGACTCCGTTAAAATGCATCTTGCATTAAAGAGTTTCAAAGAAATTTTTAACCCGACCCTGCTGATGCCGGAACGCAAGAGCAACTAAGGTGCAATGAAGACGTCCCATGTCACCTGAGATACCCACAGAAAATGGCGCAACCATGTGCATCCCGAGCGCAATTCTTAGCGGTAAACAGGGTGACTTTCTTCGGCAACGAGTTTGGCTAAATTCTGTCTGCGAAAATTCTGTCTTCATTAAAGCATGTAAATAAAAAGCTAAACATATGGTGACGCTCGTTTGCTTCAAGATTAATTAAATATAATAAATACTCGTTGCAGGGTTCTGCTTTTACAAGCCAAGATTGGTAAAAGTACGAACCACGCACGTTTTATATTTTAAAGTTTTGTTTTCCGCGTGACTCTTCCAAAGTCCGAACATTCCCGTAAGCGTTACTCATAATCATAAAACCTTACGACTCAAACTTTTTAATTGGGGGCGTTTCTACTGCAAAACATTAAGATTTTGTTTCCTTTGTTTCAGGTACTTTGTGTCTTATATACTTCAATTTCAGTTTCACGAATATCTGTGCATGCAGACGTGTCAGTACACGGATGTCAGACCACTGCACGAATGTGATCTTTATGGTCATAGAGAGGCGGGCGACATTTTGAGGTACGTTCGTTTTAGCTTTATGGTTTTTGTTTGGTTTTCTAAACGTCTGCTTACAAAGCGAAAATGTTAGCCTGAAAATTAGGCTATCAGATGAATATTTCGTGCCTCGTAACTGGCAGTACAATGTCACACCGAAATACCCTTGCCTTAAACTAAGAGATTTGCGGCGCCAACGACTAGCCAAGTCATGTGTCCATTATAAATATATTTATAAAAAACACTGTTTTGATTGACACTCTAAATATTTTATTCATTACTATTTATTTTATGTCATAATAATGAACAAACAATGTCCAGTTATCAGTCAAATGAATATCAATATGAAGATTATGCATGTCCATTCGGCCATTTTATTCTATATCTTAGTAACATCAACAACCACTTCATTAGTATATTAGATAGCTAATATTCATGAGCCATAAGGTTTCTTTGGTAGAGCGAAACACAAGATTTTAGTGATTAACAATCTGCTCGTCTCTTTTGTTGTGTTTTAAGGCAAGGACTTTCTCTCGGCGCCAGCAAACCTTGGCCGGAAGTTCTGGAGATAATGGCCGGCACAAGAGAGATGTCCGGGTCGTCAATTAAGCGCTACTTTGCCCCTCTGGAAAGCTGGCTTGACGAGCAGATTAAAGGCGAGACAATCGGTTGGGATAGCGCCAATGGTACGAACATTTACGTAGAGACCTTTAACTATAAACCTTTTGTTATCTCGTATGTTGCATTACATGGAGTGTTTAAACTAATTAGTTTATTATTTTTAAACAATGAGAAATCAAAAATAAATGCACACGAATGTTAAGAATTTATATCAGCCAAGCTGCCCGATCCGTGGTGACGAGAAGTTCCAAGAGATTGTAGAAGTTGCAGTCTCCAAAGCAGAAACACAGGTGCTAGGAACAGCCAAAAAACAAAATGCCTCCCTAAAGGCTTATTCACACGATGCATCTTTTCAAAGCGACACAGTTTAGCAAAACCGAGATTTCGCGAAAGCGGCCTTTTCACACGTGGAGTTTGACGCGCGAAACCTGTGACGTATTCACTCACGAGAATTTCGCCAAACCTTGTCATCTGCACCGGGAATACCAAGCGTTTCGCATCAAAATGATATGAAGTACGCCCAGTGTGAAGAAACAGTCTGTTTTATTAATACTACTCAATGAACTTCGTCAGATTCGGCTCACTGGGTTTACTAGTCCTGCCAAAAACCGGGAAAGGCCGCTAATGTCAAAGAACAGCCGGGTGATCTCGAAGCATTTCGGACATCTTTGCGCCACTAATAAAGAAAGTTATCCCCAGCCATCATGTTTATATGCGGTGCTTGCACTCGTCGGGACCGTTGATGAACCTGCGCCGCGCCGGCAACCCGTACTGCTAAAGCGCCGATCACACACCTGCAACCGAGTAGAACCAAGACTCATCGCCCGTACGCACCGCTCCTCCGCTTGTCGCTCGTCATGTTTGTTTGTTTTTTTTCTTTCGGCTTTGGCTCGGATACGGAATCGGCCATAAATTAGACTCCTCCAAAAGCTCGCTCCTCCTCGAAGGTCAGACGTCATAGCGATGTCGAGCGGCCATTGGCAGCGTCCGCGTTTCTCCGTCGGGTGATTGATAGGCCTCGGTGAGGATTCAGCGAAAACTTGCTCCAGAAGCGAGGAACACGCGCCACGTTTTTGGGAGGCGCGCCACTTTTTCGGTCGCGTTGAGACGGGGAATCAGTTTTCCGAAACCTAGTTTTGTGAGATTCGCCAACAAGACGCATCGTGTGAATAGACCTTAAGCGGAATGCTCAAACACGACTCAATATTGTAGGGTGGTTTGTTATCCAAAGTGTGTGCTTTGTGAAACTCATACCGTAGGTTGCGATTCGGGAGGTTGCGTTAGGGTCAGTTCAATAATTGCCTTGAGGCTTCCGTGAGTGAAAAAAACAAAGAGAAACAGAGTAAGTCTTTGAAAGATGAGTTAGTTGACATGGTACAGCTAGATATGCCAATATGTTCTGCCCATCGCCCATCAAGGCTTGTCTAACTGGGGTCGAGAGCACCACCGGCAGCCATCGGTTGACACCACCTAATGCATGAGAGTTGTGGGAGAAATGGGAAAATCTTCAATTTCTTACCTTAGTATGTTGTCCTCAAAAATTAAACTTTTGTTGTATTTTCCGGGAATAAAAGTTAATATTCTGGGCGAAAATATCAAAAGCATTAGAGTAATAATATATTTTTAATATATGTTTTGTGGTTGAGGGTCGAGGGTTGCGAATTGGTTGGGCGACAACTATGATGCGATTCAATGAGGCAAAGGTTGTCGAGAGTCAACGTGGAGTCGTTAGTAATCTCTACGTCAACAGAGCTTAGCAGAGGATTCGTGAGAAGGCCTTTACTTGGGATATTCGCATCGTTTCAAGAGCTTGTACAAGTTAATTTCGCAACAAGCTTTTACTTTGAACTGAACTGGAGAAGCCCGTTTAAAGAAAACTGAACATAACGTTCAAAGGAAAAAGCTTTCAATCCATATATACGCTTCATTGCACAAGTTTACATCTAGCAACCAGTTTTCACCAAGAGGAGGGGCGTGGTTTCAGTGTTAATTGTGAGGTTTTGATAACCAAACTGCAAACTTGTTTGGTCAAACTGCTTGCCGGGTTGATTAAATTGCTTACCGGCTTTACCTAAATAATAAGCAGTTTCAAACCTGTTCGCCACGCCGATGCGCGGTGTGACCAAGATCGCATACAACTACACTCAAACAGGAACAAAGTTTGAGCAAACCTGTGGCAGTTTCACCAAACCTGTGAGCAATTTGATCAGACCGGTGAGCAGTTTTGTTATACCACTCAGTGAAGGTTCAACCATGTTACCGGTATAGTTGAACAGGTACCAGTATAAAACTGTTAAAAGTTATAACGATTTCGTTTTAATTTGGTTTTTTTTTCGCAGGGTTAGGTTCTATGGAATATTGTGGATGCTTCATTTCCAAACCTTGCAGTATTGTTTACTCTAAAAAATGTCTTTGTCCACCTTGCGGGCGCCATGCCTATTGGCAAAAATCTTCCGGAGCAGTCTCGCTCTGGTACTGCAGATGCAGACAGACGTTTTAGATTTCACATCCGCAGGCAAAGGCAATTGTTGTTCAGAAAAACAACAACAACAATTTTAATATACTCTTATTTATTTTTGTATCATCTTCTAGTTGACGTTCACATTTGTTAGGGGGCCTATCATCTCATGACTGAGATAATCATATAGATAATTTTCTGCCGATTAATAACACGTCTAGTGACTGGACGAGAATCGTATATATTGTCATTTTGAATCCACTGCTGGTGCCCTAGTTCATTACATATCGCTCAGAATGCTGGATGCGTCTAACCACTCTTGACTGGCTGAATTACCTGATACGCTGTCCTATTTTTCTCGTCTGTGGTAAACTATACAGCGACTTTGGATCTGCGAGTACCACAAACACCTTACCAGCAAGCAATTTGCAAGCTTCAAATGTGATACGTGCAAAGCGTGAAAGTGCGACCCAGAGAACAGTAGAGTACTGACGGTCATCGAATCGTGACTTACTTCCTGCACTGCGGCGCCACCTAATATTTCGCAATTTTACTTAATGATTATGAACACGGCTAATCCTTCAGCTCAGACTGACTAACTGATTTGTATCAGAATTTTCTGCATTGCGTTTTCCCACTTCGCCGAATGCGGTCACTGCAAGTTCCAATTCAGGAATATTAGCCAACCATTCAGTCGGTCGGGTGAAGCGGTGCAGAATCTGGGCGGTTGCGTGCTGGGAGACACGTTTTCTGCTCGTTCGCCGTCATTCGCAGAATATCTTTTGAAAATCATTTTGTAGACGCTCGTACTTGCCTTTGAGAAGACGATGACATTTTTACGAAAGCGAAACTACGAAGGAAAAAGGTACAACTCGTCGAACGCAAGTCTCGCGGCGTGATCAAAGACCATGCCTTGGCACGACCAAGTGCTGCCTTTCCACGCCTGAACACCGATCAAAAACAATGTCGTGTAGATTATTTGTAAGGTGTATCGCGCGTTATGGTGTATGTACCTCTGGAGCAGCGTTTTATTTTAATCCGACGACTCTATTTGTAACTTGGCGGACTAGCGGGCCAGAAACGAGTTTGATCCCATGCGAACAAAACAGAGGATGACGACGGCGGCGGCTTCGATCATGTTTTGTCTCACAGACAGTTCTATCAATCAACCTAGCAGAAGGGAACAGAATTAATTATCTCTTGCCTCCTCCTCTCCCGGACGCTTTCGACATCCCTGCAGGTTTCATTGTTCTAAAGCAGCGACGTGCTTTGAACGTTCACTTAACTGGTTAATTGCTTGCCTCTACCTGTGTTGTCATTTGACGTGAGTAATTCGGATTCATCCGATTAGAGTTAGAACACACCTAGGGTTGATAGTGCATGACAGCAACCACTGATCAGTGCAACCCATCGGAACAGCTGTACGATTTTGAACCCAGTGACCGATAGGTATGCGACAGACATTTACACATCCGCACGGCGTCGATTATCAATCGGTATTCAAGCGCGATAGGGCAGAGACGCATTGCTTTGGCGTGCGAAGGCATACCACTTGATCACACCGCGATACTGACGTTCGGCGAGTTGCACATTTTTCCTGTGGTGCTGCGCTTTCGTAAAAATATCCACGAGTTCTCAAAGGCCACTCGACCGTTTGCAGAAGGTTTTAAAAAACGTCTTTGGTGAATGACGGTGAACGATAAAGACGTGTCTTCAATCACGTTGTCGCCCAGCGTTTTCAACGCATCACCAGGGTGACTTCATGATGGCCGATACGAAAATTGCGGTGGCTGCACTCGAGCTGCGGGGGACAAGCAGAGATGCGCGATCGAGCACAATGTTGTAAAGGTTAGTGGAGTGACCTATTCTAATTTCGATGTCCTCTTAGAACGTCACATATAAAAAAGGGAAGCAAACGTTAAAACAAAACTACAAATAACCTGCCGGATTCTGAAACTTCTGGTTAATCACACATATAAGCCGCCTCTAAGCTTATCAGAACTTGGCTTCCTTCAACCAGTGAAGCTGTTGCAGTGGCTATGCCCGTAAACGAGCAGAATGGGTTGATGTCAATGGGAAGCACTCAATCCACACTGCGCCCATGTGAAGCCATACATATCTGAAAACAAAATTCAACAAATGTTGAGTCAGTCATTGTTCAGACGCCAGGTTGCTGGATGAAAAGCTGTCCACGCATACGTGTGTAAATAAGTAGGGTAAATAGACGACTGAGGAGTTATTTCTACCAGCTGGGGATCTTTTGGACTCGAAAACAATATCATAATCCTGATATATTACTTACGTGCTTCGGCTAAATATCGACAAAAGCTATTCACTTTTTCGTCTTTTAGTAGATAATAACGCGCAGCTCTCACTCTGTTTCTAATTCTTTCAAGAACTGGTTTCTTATTGAAAATCATCAATGAAGCGAATATAAAACAGTGAGTTCAAGGCAAGCCAATGGAAACAAAAACACGAATGAGTTTACACCAATTTTATTCTTCGTAGACAGTTAGAGATAGAAAAACGCAAATGCGAGCTAAAATAAACAAAAAAAACTTATAATTATTTTTGACCTCGCAATTCGCTGTGCATTTCTGGAATATCACTTCATAAATATTAGTTTTATCGTCGATGCACAAATTTATTTTTTATTACTGAAGCTTGCATCTTTTTTACAGTGGATGATTATATGGACTCAGGCAGCACGCCATCGTCGGACCAACGTCGATCCGTCATTGACAAAATATGGGACAAGCTCTGGCCTAAATTAGGCGCACACAAAAGAGCAACCCGGTCAAACGTTTGACCATTATTGCCAACATAGAACCCCACTAACCAACATTAAGTCAGCGTTGGGCTACCGTTGGTAGTTGGCCTTACATTCATTATTGGCATCTGTTGTACCGCAGCATTGTGCCTTAGTGACCCCAAGTATTAATTATCGCTTCTTTTAATATTTGTATAATCTTCACCAAAGTGCATGCCCTTATTTCCAGCCATTTTAACCAGTCTTGTACAAAACATAAGTATACCAGGACAAAACTCTGCAAAATGCACGAGCCTCACGCATCGCTTAATATTCGACGTTCAATCTAGCCAATCCTTTATAAATTACAAATGGTTCCAACGGTGTAAAAATTTAAATCTATAACGCATATAAGCAAAAATGACTTGCAACTTAATATTTTATATGCTTCCTACGATCAGCAAAACTTACTAGGCATTTTAGTTGGAATGACTTTAGAAATGGGTGCCGTCATTAATCACTTCACGCAGGGAACTGAACAAGTGAAAGTTAAGACCATACGGAAAAGGCTGGACATTTACTTAAAATATATAAAACTCAATCTTTCGTCACAGTTAATTGATAAAGTAATCAATTGCTATGCTGCTTCCTTGAAAAAAATATAAAACGCGGCAACACTACACTTATGATTAATTATTTTACCTTCCATAAAGAGGATAAAGTAAATCTTTATTGTAAAATTCCACTGTGGATCGTCCATATAGCTAAAAACTGGGAAACATTTTTTTAACGAAAAGTTTTTACATTGTTGTTTAGAAATTCTGAGGTATTTAACTTCTTTATCTCGAAAAACTATCATATTGCCTTGTAAGATGGATAAACGCCAAGCAACTAATGAGGCAGTCATTTTTAACGCATTTTGGTTCACCAGTTCTATTGTAACTCATAGCTAAACCAATTAAAAATTAACGCAATTAAAAAGTAGTCAATTACTTGATTTATTGTCTAGCCCTGGCTACAATTCACGCTAGATATCACGCTGCCGATATTTTACCGAGACAGCATTTGCCTCCGTTCTTACAGCGAGCCAGAACTCTTCAACCTGTTAATTACAACTGTGTCGTTTAGGTTCACGCCTACGTGTTTTTGTTGTGACTTGTAAAACTTGTTGATGCTGGATTACAACCAGAAGCAGTGCGAACAGTACAGATAATATATTTACATATTTACAAGAACCTATAATTAAAGATAGCTCATCGGGCGGTTTGTCGTTGGAACGGTGTCCATGGCTAGCTCCCGCGTCCGTGCGTCACGCGAATTGCGTCCCACGCTGGTTCATGGCACTTGTGTCTCGGAGCGCTTTTCTTTCACGTCGTTATAATTGTGCTTCTACAAACTCTTTTAAATAGGTTCTTAGCTTGGGACACAAAGGGAAAGTATTTAAATGTGTACCCGTAATAAAGTCATATTAATTACGATATAACTGAAAACATCAAGCGCATTTTAGTTATATTACAATATAACAAACAAATACCAAGCTTAGTGACGTGAAATGTACCGCTAACTTAAACAATTAAATAAATAAATGCATAAAGGAATGAATGAATAAAAAATAAAAGAATGAATGAAATAAATGATAAAAAGCTGTGTCGAGCAAGACACACTTACTGGTAAATGCACTCAAAAAAAAGAACGTTCAAACCATTGGCACTCCCCTCACTTACATGGACATTCACCACGCAAAGCGAAATGCAAGCTTGGTGATTAACGCGTATTTAACGTTTTCAATATTTCTGATGGAGTTTGAGCAAGAGATGCACATTTTTTGGAAATTATCTATGGCCTAAAAAAAAGCGTTTTTTTTTTGTTGTTGTTCTTTAAATTTAATACATTCAGATATTTGACATCAGTGAACAAATAATTATTTTTACGCGATCTTTTTATTGTAAAATGGGGCAACTAGTCAATAATAGTTGTATTAACTGAAACGGCAGCCAAATCATGCTAGATTATTGCAAGCACGAATTATGGTGGCTCAAATGAATCAGGCAGTCTCCATAAATTTAGTGTGTTAATACTTTAGTGCTCAAAGACTTCCATTTTTCTACGCACAGTGAACAGACTGCTCAGTCGCTGCGCGCATAAATGTCTACCCCTGGCCATAACTGTTTTTGCCAAAGCGAAAGATGATATGCGAAAGGGCAAACGCTTCTTTATGTGCTCATCCAGATAAAAAAAAAAAAACTCAGTAAGCTTCCTAAGCCCCGCGACATTTTAAATCGTTCTAGGCTTAAAACAGTACACTCTGGCCAACATAAGGGTCTAATAAATTGTGGTCATCCGCCATCACCCGAATGAGTCTGGTAGTTTGATCAAAATTAATGTAAGTCGTCGGGGTTATCTTTTTTATTTCGTGCTTTCGTGTAGCTTTTTGACCGAAGTTTTTTCTTTTATTCGCTGATGTAAGAGGTATGTACACCCGCGAATAATATGAGCTTAAACACCCGATTCTGACTTTTTCTGCGGTGCAGTTCCCCTGTGCTCTATTACCCTCTAAAAATGGCTGCGCGTCTACTTACCCGCAAAACACTCAAAGAGCCAATCTCTTCGATCTGCGAAATCAGCTCGGCGAATGATGAGGCGGAACAACCGTTCAGACCTGAACGAGAAGTCTTCGCTGAGGCCTTGCGTAATGCAAAGCGTCATGCTTGCATTGCGTAATGCCACGCGCAGACTTAATTGTGAGGTCTAACTAGATGTTCCGCCTAACCATTCGCTGAGCTGATTTCGCAGATCGAAGAGATTGGCTCTTTGAGTGTTCTTTCGGGAAAGCAGACGCGCAGCCATTTTTTAGAGTGTATCTTCCAATCAACATGGTGATTATTCCGAAATATTCGACATCAGCTTCGCATTCCTTTCCCAGTTAGGTCTAGAGCTTTCTTAATCACTGGCGGATACACCAAAAGAAGCCTGACACACTGTTTCATTTCATGTTGTCCGCGATAGCACTTTGGAATGCAGTAAATGTACGCGCTAGGTTGAGCGATTACTTGCATTTGAGATATAATCCATATGTACAAGTGAGACAGTGTTATAGTTTTGATACATGAGCAAGAATTTGTCTGTGCTTCAACGGACTGAGTGCTCGTTCAAGCATTTGTTGTTTTTTGTTTTCAAGATTTTTCAATTTGACAGGACGTGACGTATTGTGTTCTTCCATTTCTTTATCATACAAACTTTATTTTGTGCTAATAAAATGGGCATTTTTGAAGGTGTGTTGTAAGCAGACTGTTTTTACTTGCGGATTACGCACTAGTTGCGATCTGTGCACCGGGTGCGGATCATGCACCGGGTGAGGGTTATCTAAAAAAACTTTATTCCAGCCAAACGTTGCACCTCTAGACTAAACACCCCAGCGGATAAAGTCCAGAATATGCGGTACGTTAGCACTGCAAGGCACGATAAATTTGCTTTTGATATTAAACTAAAGTGTTATTAATATCATGAAAGCTATACAAACGGGATGGACGGGGGCAGACATTAAGAGGTTTTAGCTTACAACATTTATTTCGTGGCAGCGGAGCCAAGCAAACGGGAGATGTCAAACGATTTCCAAAAAGTAATTATATTACATTACAAATTATTCCAGACTAAAAGTAATGACATTACGTTACAACTACTTTCCAGAAGTACTTAAATCGTTTTGACATTACTTTTCAATACATTGAGGCAGTAATTCGTTCATGTGTTATTACAGAGTATGTACTATAACTTAGACATTTCTGTTTACACTATAGCACTCTCATGCGCCTCAGAGTGAACCATAAATAACAGTCGTTCCGATGGCTCACGCGACGGAAGTATTAAACGTGATAAATAGCTTCTTTACATGTGACTCAAAGAGAGTCGACCCACCGGTTTCGCTCTTCATTCAAGGTTAAAAGTCCTTAGTTAAAATGTGATGAGATTCCGTCTTCCTGATTTTGATGTAGTTGTAGTCCCTGTCAGTAACTTTAGTTGGGTCATGGGCAGGCATGTAGCCAAGTTTTTATTTTGGCGGAGTCCCGCCCATGACATGATGCTCTATGAGACGGAGGGGGGAGAGGAGTCCCCGCCGAAATGACAGATTTCGGAGGGGGGGGGGGGGGAATGGACCCCATGGGTCTCCCCCCCCTCGGATACGTGCCTCCTCGTGGGAGCCCGTTTTTACAAGAAGTTGTCATGTGAAGCGTTCCCTTTCCGATTCGGACGCAATATAATCCCATTCTCCCAAATGCACTTGTTGACGCAGGCCCCCTCCATTCCTCGTGTGGAGTATTGCTGCAAGACACCCGAAGAGCCCCAATTCTTGCGCGTTCAAATACAAGGGGGCTGGATGCTGGCTATGTAAAAGCGTCCCCGGTTGTGGAAAGATATGGCGAGAGCTTCCTACAATGCGTACTTTTCCAACAAACAGGTGGCGAGATTTCCTTGTTTGCTTCTTGCCGACGGAGCACCCCAAGGAAAGGTGGAGATGCATACCGCGAGCGGCACCAGCTTTGCTCGCATCGCACCTTTTCTGACCAAAAGTATATTTACTTACCAAGGTCAAGGCTACGCACGAAACGTTCTGGGCCCTTGACAAGACATTTGGGATTAACTATCGGTCATTTGTTGTTCACGATGGTTGAAGCTTACGGTCTCACCTTGCTTGACGAAAGAGCAAGAAGACTGGGGATCTGCTTGCTGTCCTCTCATGTTTAAAATGTGGTCAAGTGTGGCCTCACTTGCGATGTGACCTTCGCATTGTAACCAATAAGCCATTCACCCCTAAGCTGACAGAGCGGTGGAAGGTATGCGGTCGTTGGAGGAGTCACACGTCTAGATTTGCTCGTCGTAACTTCGGTCTCATTCCTACCCAGGCGCAGAGATGGGGTCAGGGGGTAAAAGGAAGGTGGTTGATTGGTTCCGGTGAGCTTGTAGCTCCCACCGCACTGTCAGCAAAGGGGTGAACGAGGTACAATATCGCCGTGACGACGTGGCGCTAGAGATCTATCTTGTCTGGAGTTCGTAAGTGGTCT